CATGGCGGAGAATGGAGATGTCTGCCCTCATGCCATGCACCTGATCAGTGAGTGGAGCAAGGGATGAATTGCAGAGCTGGACAGCTTTAAACACGTCAAAATATTAACAGTCACTTATAAAGCCATCCACAACTCTGCCCCCGGCTATATCTCAGACCTTGTCTCAAAATATCACCCTAACCGTCCACTCCGCTCTTCCCTAGACCTCCTGCTTTCCAGCTCCCTAGTCAACTCCTCCCATACTCGCCTCCAGGACTTCTCTAGAGTCTCTCCCATCCTCTGGAACTCTTTACCCCAACCTGTCCGTCTATCTCCCACCCTGACTGACCACTGAACCATCACATTCTCAAACAATTCATCCCCACACAGCTACCACCTCATGTGTCATTTCCCCCCTCCTCTTTCAGATTGCAAGCCCTCAGGGGCAGGGCCCTCCTTACCATCCTGTCTTAAATTGTATTGTAATGTCTTCCTTACATTGTAAAGCACTGCGCTATATAAATACTATGTAATAATAATAATAGTAATAATAATGCCTAGCTTGGGAGGATCGAGGCTGTTTAGCAGGAGTGTCAGCTTGTCGGACAAAGCGCTCTAGCCGCGCTGCAGTGTCGTTGCCCTTCTCCCTGCATTGCTGCTGCATCGTGGGAGGTGCTACGTGTGGACTGCCGCCATCTTGCCGTGCGGGCCGCCGCCAAGTCCCGTTTTTTGATTGTCCTTTTTCTTGGACATGGCAGCTGCGGGCAGTGTCAGGGGCGGTGGCGGGTGGATCGGGCAGATGACAGGAGGATTCTGAGTGAATCAGAGAAAGGTAGGAGCCGATAGACAGTGTGTCCCAGGATTGATTGCAGGATATACGGCGGGAGCTCTCCTACACACGTCTGCCTACATGAAGCCGCTGGCCACGCCCCCCGATGTAACATTCCCAGGATGCAATGCTTGGGCACAATTACATCATTTGCACTAAAGTAGACCAGGAAGTGGAAAAAAGAAATTGTAAGTAAAAGAAAAATGTGTGTTTAGCTAATGAATATAAGACGATTTTATATTGCACGCAGAGCTGTAAGCTGATGTGATTTTTAGGGTGTAAAGGTCCACTTTAACAGAGCCTTAAGCATAAGTGAACTTAACCTTTTAAGCCCCTTTAAAGTGACACTAAACTCAGAAGTTACATCTTAAAAATGAATTCAAGTACCTTAACTAATAGAAATGTAGATTTGTGTATCTCTCAGCTGTAGATGCTCAGATCATGTCTGAATTGGTGCTGACATTGTCATTACTTCTGCAGGATGAATACTTTTGTTCCCCATGCTCCCTGTGTGTGTTGTAAAGTAGCCACCGCTCCAAACTCGCTTCTGTGATGGACTAAAATCTCACTACAAATGAGTAAACTAAACGTGAGATTGTAAACCATATTATTTTTTCAGGAAAAGGCATAATGGGAATATCCTTCCTTTGAACATCATATGCTTGTACTTGTTGCTCTCTCATTAAGCCTGTATTGTCAAACTCATGCATTTACTCATTCTTGTGTCTACACCCTTCCTATGAACTAATGTAAGGGGGAGGGGGTGTAATAACTCACCGTCTGGGTTCCTGATTGGCCATCTTCCTGACCAATTAGGAAGCCGGGCAGCGCATCATTACACGCTGCCCAGCTTCCTGATTGGCATGGAGCCGGCTTACTGGCCAATATGGAAGTCGGGCAGCGTGTAATGGCGTGCTGCCCAGCTTCCTGATAGCCGAAGCTCAAGTATCAAGCTAGGCATCGGAGCATTTGGGTTAGTTAGAGTACTCGCCCAAATACTCGGCATCGGCACAGATACTAGTATCGGTATCAATGCATCTGTACTTATAACCTACAGAGTATCACATGGTTTCATAGTGAAAGGTGCAATGTCCTATGCTTCACCCAAGGATAACTATGAGAAACTATGATAACAAGTGTCTCTAGCAAGTGTGCGCCCTCCCCCCGTACCTCCGCGCCGCTGCTGGTCCCGAGATCCGCTGTGCCTGGTGCGGCTGGGACCGGCACAGCGACACTCTCAGTGGAGCTCAGTACACAATCTCCCCTTGATCTCTTCTCGGTCCCCGAATGCAGGAAGCGGGGGCGGCAGGGCGCAGAGGGGCGGCAGCGGTGTGGAGTCCCCAGACGCCCGGGACATACAATTCCGGGCGCCGGGCGGTAAGTTGCCTTCTACATTTAGTCCTGCTTTGGGAAGGCAGGACTAAATGTAGTGTGGGGAATCCGCTCGTACGTTTACAGGTGATCGCGGCGAAGTCGCCGCAATCACTTGTAAAATCTGTGCGCAGCCTGTCCGTCCTCCCCTTCTCCCCTTGGCCTCCCCCTCTCCTCTGGTTCCGGCCGCCGATCTGCGCCCCATTGGGAAGATTTCCCTCCACTTCCAATAGTCACAACAGGAAGTGAGAGGAAAGCCCTAGTGGTCAGCAGGGTAATCAGAACTAGTGTCCTCATTTAAAGATTTCCCATCTATTCTTGTTCTGATGGCAACTCAAAATTTGGGATTTTCTCTCACTTTCAGTGATAACAGTCACCAGGACAATGTCCATAATGGGGGACACAGATGCCAGCAAAAACCTGAAAGGTATTCAAATCATCTTCACTCTATTTATAATAAAAATAAAATGTTGGCTTCAGTTACACTTAGCTGAGTACATTTCTGGCAGATACCCAGTATGCTTCTATGCTTGCATGGACTTTAAAGGGATAAAACATGGAAATGTGCATGTATTGCAGAGTTATCCTGCATATTGTTTTTTTTGTTCTTTTGCCTTGAGAAAAACTTTGAGGGATAACTTTTTACAGGTCTGTGCATAGCTAAGAAAGTGGCCTTGGTGGCGAATTGGGGAACCCCTTTTCAAGAGTCATATTATTTTGTAAAGCATTGTATTTATTCTTAGAATTATGATGGTGGAAGCATATAACAGGCCCAATGATACTCAACAAACATATGATCTATGATTCTGTCTAAATCACTAATTACCACCCATGTAGACCCATTGAACTTGCTAAGAGATGGACTCGTTCTAGCTGACAAAAGGAAAATTCAGAGGAAGTGGTATCTGCTTACAGGATTCCTGAAATCACCTATGAAGAACTGTGAACTGTTCTGCCACTGGTGCAACCTTAGCCAACCCCAACCACCAGCTGAGATCATCGGTGGCCAAGTATTGTGGTACATCCTTAATCTCCTGTGATTCATTTGATCATGCGTGAATATCTCCCTGCCAGTCATTCTCAGGAAAATATCTGCCAGTCTATGGGTAGCTGTATATTTGCGTTAATGTAGCATGTAAAAAAACAAAACAATGGCAGTTGCAGGTAGTTAACGTGTTTCTTCAGCTTGGTTTTGAACAGGATAGTGAACGGTTTAACCCCCTGAAAAGCTTTAACTGCTGTCTGCGTCCCGATCACTTTGATGAGATTTCTTCCCATTTCCTGTTGTATCTCCAGGACAGAAACAGAAGGGAAATCTCCCCAACAGAACACAGGGTCTATATAAAAAGTAAAATTCACACAACTTTCACGCAGGATTCACTGGCTTTTTGTTACATAAACTATCAAAAAACAATGAAAGGGGTTTATACTTTGAGAATCTGTACAATATAAATAGATGTATTAAAAATGCTGTGGCACTATGGTAGCGTGTCTATGAAAAACTCCAAAAATACACTTTAACAGCTAATACACTGCTGTACTTTGTGGATATGTAGTTTGTACATTGCCTTCAGCGCCACATACCCCTTCCTCTGTTCTGTGTATGTACTCCCCACAAAGTGATAGGTAACAAACTGATCATTATCTGAGCAGATATATAGTTTGCTTAGTGCCCTCAGCACGTTGTACCCCTGCCATTGCTCTCTGTATGTGTTGTCCCATCAGCGTGCCAATTGAGACTTTGCTACACACTGGAGAGATGTCATTTGCTCAGTGCCCTCAGCACAGTGTACAGTACTCCTCACAGTGCTCTGTGTATGCGTCCTCCAGCTTGCATAGCTGTGCAATGCGTGGAGATGTACTTTGAACATTGTCCTTAGGATTATCTGCCCCTTCTGTTGCTCTGTGTATGTGTCCTCAGGATGACAGCTGACACACTGTTGTTACGTAGGTGGAGATATAGTTTTCTCCCTGTACTCCATCCACTGCTCTGTGTATGTGTCCTCTCCTCATGGTGGCAGCTGAGACACTGTTGTGTTATGTAGATATAGTTTTCTCCCTGTACTCCATCCATTGCTCTGTGTATGTGTCCTCTCCTCATGGTGACAGCTGAGACACTGTTGTGTAATGTAGATATAGTTTTCTCCCTGTACTCCATCCATTGCTCTGTGTATGTGTCCTCTCCTCATGGTGACAGCTGAGACACTGTTGTGTTATGTAGATATAGTTTGCTCCCTGTACCCCTTCCATTGCTCTGTGTATGTGTCCTCTCCTCATGGTGGCAGCTGAGACACTGTTGTGTTATGTAGATATAGGTTTCTCCCTGTACCCCTTCCATTGCTCTGTGTATGTGTCCTCTCCTCATGGTGACAGCTGAGACACTGTTGTGTTATGTAGATATAGGTTTCTCCCTGTACCCCTTCCACTGCTCTGTGTATGTGTCCTCTCCTCATGGTGACAGCTGAGACACTGTTGTGTTATGTAGATATAGTTTGCTCCCCGTACTCCTTCCATTGCTGGGTGTTTGTCCTCTCCTCAGGGTGACAGCTGACACACTACAGTGTTGTGTTATGTAGGTGGAGATATAGTTTCCTCCCTGTACCCCTTCCATTGCTGGGTGTTTGTCCTCTGCTCAGGGTGACAGCTGAGACACTACAGTGTTGTGTTATGTATATATCATTTACTCCCTGTACTCCTTCCATTGCTAGGTGTTTGTCCTCTCCTCAGGGTGACAGCTGACACACTACAGTGTTGTGTTATGTATATATAATTTACTCCCTGTACTCCTTCCATTGCTGGGTGTTTGTCCTCTCCTCAGGGCGGTGCTGCCAGTCTGGTTACGCGGGACGGGGCGCGGTTCAGGGCGGGAGGCAGAACTGGCAGCACCACCCCTTCCCCGGATCCCGGACACGGTGGCTGCCGGAACCAGAGGAGCCCCGAATCCAGCCCGGAGCCTGCACACTCCTACAACTGTCCTCCACCTCAGTACCTCACCGCAGCCATGTGCTCCAATGGCCGCTCCCTGCTGCCTCCTCTCTACCCTCCCTCCTTCTCTAGTTTTCCCGGTGCCCCCTTTGCCGTCCCCACTGGGCTACGCAGCCTGGCAGCCGCTGCCCCCTCCGGAGGTGCTAAGATGACACACCCGGGCAAAGCCATTCTAGCAGGTGAGTGTTATTGTTTGCGACAGGTGCCCCCTGTGTTGTGGCACGGCACTAGTGCGGAGCACACTTGTTGTCCTGTGCCCGCGATCTGTCCTGCAGATGGAGATGTTGCGGTGCCCGAACTTTGTTCATGTGCCAGCTTCTGCTAGGTGGGCACAACTCCTACAAAGCGGTGTCCTTGCTGCTCGGATCTGATCACAGACACAATTCAGTTGAACTTGTCTGGGTGTCATTGGCTCATGGTCGGTGCATCGTGTGCAGGAATGTGACTGTCACTGAATGAATGAATGGAGTCTGGTCTGTCCTGTTCTGCTCACCAGGCTGGATGTCATTGGGCTCCAAGCTGTGTCACATCACCATCCTGCAAGGTCCCCTCCTGACATCACAGCCTGATCTATGACAACACACTCATCTGTCATCCTCCTCTACATGATATCACAGCCTGATCTATGTATGACACAGCTCTGAGAACATACTTATCTTTTGTCCTCCTCTATATGATTTTACAGCCTGATCTATCACAGAGCTCTGACAACACACTCATCTGTCATCCTCTATATTCTATAACACAGCTCTGACAACACACTGATCTGTCATCCTCCTCTATATGATATCACAGCCTGATCTATGTATGACACAGCTCTGACAACACACTCATCTGTCATCCTCCTCTATATTCTATCACACAGCTCTGACAACACACTGATCTGTCATCCTCCTCTATATTTTATCACAGCCTGGGATGTGTGGAACATTGTCACATTTCTTCTAGTATAACAATCATATCACATCTACAGCTCCTGAAGGTCTGGGGTAATGCATTGTGTTTGCCCTGCTCACAGTGTTACACAATGGCAGTAATTGGGTTTGATTTACTTTCCTGCTTTGTCATTGTTTAAAGGGACCGTCCAGTGGTTAAAATATTTCTTTAGATAAGCATAACAATAGATCAGCCTGATGTTCTAATCTTATCAGTTTGTGATGTTTTAATTTCATTGAAAAAAATAAACTATTCATTTGTATAATGTATAACTTTAAAACAAAGTTCACTTTTGTTCTTTTTTTTTGTTTTTTTTGCTTCCCTCTCCTGATTTATCTGATCCCAGCCCCCTTGCGCAGATAAATACTAACCTTCATCTCACACCCGCGGCCTCTGGGGAGTGTTTACCTCCCGTGTTGCCAGTCCTCTCCATTTCTTGGCTGTATGGCAGGTTTTAGACTTCTATGGGGCCATTTATTGAGACTGGAGATGCTTTAGGTCACTTTACGGTCCTTTTACACCATTGCTATGTGGTAACGCAGTGGTGCTATCCCAACGCACCTAAAGGGAAAAATAAAGGTGCAGGATATTTTTTATCCACTCAGGTGTGTTTTTCAACCCATTCAAATGAATGGGTGGCAATAACACAGTGCAAGTTAGCATGCAACATAACACACCCCACCTCAGCAGACAGATGTGATGCCAGCCTTAGGTCTTATCCTAAGAGGGAGTGGAGTAATTGCACTGAGCCAGTGAAAGCTCCCTGGAGATGCTAGTCTACAAATTGAATTGAAACCTAAACTCTAGGGTTGAAAAAGCTTTACCCTTGCATTGGGTCCCCTCCATACTGCAACAGTTAACTGCTTGTTTTGCCTAGATCAGGGGTGGGCAACTCGGCCCTCCAGCTGTGTTTAACTACAAATCCCAACGCGCCTCTGCCACTGGGAGCCATGTCTGTAACTGTCAGTCTTGCAATGGCTCATGGGACTTGTCGTTCCACAACAGCTGGAGGGCCGGAGTTGCCCATCCCTGGTCTAGATGAAGGTGATATACTTACCTTATTCCTCACTCCCGGCAGGCTTTCTCCTCTTTCTGCAACCGGTCCCCCAAATCCTCTGCTCTTCACTGCTTAACCGTTCGCAGCTCTCTGACATCATCCTGTAGAATCCAAGATCCACATTCCAGCATTGTACAGGAGGATGCTGAGGGCCGACCACAACCCAGAATGACAAACAAGGGGAGTCCCCCCCCCCCCGTATTTTCCTTTC